GGAAGTCCCGGGGAAGCCTCAGGATAACAATGATTTCATCAACTTTAGACCAAAATGCAAAGCTCCTTTGATCTGATTCAGCTTCCCTGCGGAAAAGTATTCAAGGTAAAATTAGATAGAACATAGAAAGAGAAAATTGAGACTGAAAACGCTAGTAGAAAATAATTGGTTTTAAAGTTGGAAGGTATTAAGTGTGAACTGGGAAATCTTTTGTTTGTGTGTTTTCCAGGAGACAAGCATAGAGAAACAGAGCCCTAAAGCTTTAAATATAGTGACCATGACTGAGAGATACTGTACATAAAATGCAGCTGCACATGATTGCAGTACTCAGCGGAATCAGCTGTTTCTCTCTCCTTCAGCTATGACATTGTCTAAATCAAAGAAATAAGAGGAAGAAAAAAAAATCCTCTACTATGGCATCCTTTCATTCTGAAACGCAGGAAGTGATGTGCCCAGGGTGGGGATAAAGGCTACAGTGTCATCTTTCAGGTACAACATCCCAGCACAACCCTTCCTCAGCAACACCCAGGGATATTTGGTTTGTGTATTCCCCTTCTCCAGAAGGAGAGGGATGTGGATGAGAGTGGTCCATGACACAGCAGTTACTGTACTCTTCCTCTTTGCTGAGCAGTGAGCTGAGCACTGATCACAACGAAGGAAGAAGAGGGTGAGAGCTCCCATTGTGCCACTGCCACTATCCTCACAGTCACACTGTAGAGCTGCCAGTCCTCAAAAGGAAAGAAAACAAACGTGCTCATTAAACCCATGTTCTGGCCCTCTCTTTTTTACTTCTTGCCATATTAAAAGAGGTCTATGTTCTTCTCAGTCTCAAACCCAGGGTCTTTTGTTTTGATGATTTCCAGTTTCAGTAGTTCAATTTTCTTTCCACCTTCTAATTTGTATTCCTAGTATCAGCTGCTAAGGAGCAAGTTAAATGATTTGAATTCACACTGATTTAACATTACTAATTGCCCTGCCAATTGCTTTCCAACTTTGCATTTTTTTCAAGAGACATCAAAACCTATGATAGGTTTAAGATCCTCAATACTTAAAAGAAGGAAAGAGCAAATAAGGCAGTAAACCAGAGTGGAATAAATTATCAATTACAATCAGTTAACTGTCTTATCTAACACTGTGCCTGCTACAAAGAAGAAAATCAGTCTTTTCATGCTCTGTAGGTGGCTACGCATGTATTGTAAGAGAAGTATATATGATGCTGTCTCAACCAGCTCCAAGAATGACATGGAGCAGCATTACACTGAACACAGTTAAAGGCAAAACCCCGGGAGAGAGGGGAAAGCCCTTGTTCCCATAGTTACAAGCAAGCCATTAAAAAGATACACACCTCCAAAAGCTGAATTAGAAAAGTGCTTTTAACTCAACATATTCTATTTAATTTCAGCAGTTTCCCCCTAACCATTATAATGCTGTGTGGGTTGCGTTGACTGCTGCTCTGTGGTACTCACCTTCAGCAGCTGCCACAAAGAAGCCAAGAAGACACTTCTGGGTTACACCACTAATAAACAGCTTATCACTACAACCAAATCTCTCTCCAGTGGGTGGGCTGACCACCCTGCCACCTTATGATAATTTAAAAGAGATCACAGGAGAAAGAACCTTAAACTAAGGGGCGAGGGGGAAGGGAGAGGATTGCTCTACATCTACTTTTTGTACCAGTCTGACCACATGTACGAGGGGTGCAAAAGTTTAAGATAAATTAATAATAGTAATGATAATAGTACCATTGGTATAAGGTGCAGGCAGGTTTAGTACCATCACAGCTTTTTACTCTTTCTGTAATAAAGCAAGCTGTGCTCATGCAAGCACTGATGTAATTGTATTTACTCTGCGCATTGGTATGTGTGCGGGGGATTTGTACTTCTGTAATTATATTAGTGTATCTAGCAGTCTGTGCAAAGATAAGTTCTTAAAATTATTTTCAGGAGTCACATTTTCCCCTTGAAACCTCCTGCCTTTGTTTGCTGCTATATAACCACATTTTGCTCTGCTTTGAAATATTTTCTCTTCTCTGTTGCTGTTGGAAATACCCACGCAAACCAAGAGGAGAAATGGGCTATAAAGGGAACAAACAAAACTGAGCATTGACTTAAATTGGTTTTGGTCTGTTTCCAAATGTTGCCAAACACAGAGGATAAATACATAGAGTGGAGAAAAACTGTCCCTCTCTCTTGCTTGCCTCTGGTGCCAGCTACAAATACCATAAATAAAAAAAAGGCTAACAACACTCCATGTAGTATTAAGACATGCAGACTGCTTATGGTTATGACTTGGATTCTCAAAAATTTCTTAGTATAAACATCTTTGTACAGGATCTGATGACAATCAAAAGTAGATGTATGCAATGAGAAGGCAACACTGTCTTTGTTATATTTATCTCAAAGGTATTCTCTATTTTTCTTTTTTCATAATCTATTTTTCCATTTTACTGCTGGCAGTCTTATAATTTTCATGTCATTCAGGCCTATAATTTTACAATCACACTTTATTGATAAACAGAAGCTTGGTTTACAGTATTTTCTAGAGGCTCAGCTGAAAATTGGCCTCTCTTAAAGAAACCCTGTGTCCACACACGCATATACACATGTGTAAAGGCTATCCTTCCCCCAGCAAATTTACAGCTTGGTACTTTAAACCAAGACAAGCATTAGAAATGAAATAAGACTAGCACTTCATAAATGGAGAACTGAGAGAGAAGAATTATGTCACATCCAAAATAATAGGATCCTCCTCCCTCATCTTGGGCCACGCCTTCTTCTACATGAGACCTTTCCAATTTGCTTTTAGGGTAATTTATTCTACGGTATTTTAGGCATCCCACCTTTGAATTCCACCCCAAACTCTCACCTAAGCTTTCCTTGCCTCAGTCCTCAAGTAACACAAATCTCCTTGGCTCTCCTTGCCCCAAGGTATCCCTTGCAGGGAGTGGCTGCCAACAGCAGCTTTCCTGCTTCTCCCTGCCCACAGGAGCCCCAAAATACTGTTTGTAGCTTAAAGTCACCACCTTCATCATTAACACTCTTAAAACTAAAATGTCTTATTATCCCCTGTGTCACCACATTGTGTCCTGCCTTTTCTGCCTTGCTACCCGTGCTAGAGGTGACTTCATTTGTGCTTCCTTAGTCCAGAACTGTTGGTGGTGCACATTAATCAGGTGTTGCTGCTGTGAAGATATTTAAGAGAGAAAGGAGCAAATCATGGTGTCAGCATTGCTGCCAGACTTCACAATTATTGGAGAGAAGGAGTTACAATGAGTAAATGACACATTTATAGCAATTTAATACAACCCTTTGTGCTTTCTTCAACCTTGACTTTATGGGTGGATTGGCTGATAAAAACTGAACCACAAGGTCATTTCCTCCTTCATGATCCTTCTCAAGAATCATTTTTACTGAGGTACCTGGAGGAAATTAGCCATTATACGATGAAAAGGGCAGAAGGGTCACCGGGGCAAGCTTAGTCTGAAGGAAGAGTTTCCATGTATACACCCTATATTGTCTATAAACTGAGAGATTTCAAGGCAAGGTATGCCCAGAGCTCTGTTGGAGAACACGAGTGCTATTGGAATACCATAGTTACCGAAAAATAAGAGTGGTAATATAAAGGACTCCATTAAAAATATCCATACAAAGGACATTTGTTAAATAGGCAATTGATACCATCCTATGCCATGAGGGTCAGACTCACAAAGAAGCCTAAAAGTGCCTGAAAATACCTCAAATGAATTGGTGAGTTTGTAACCCAGTTTACATTTTTGCTCTTAATGTTCATCCTAGAAATATTTCCCTCCCATGTTTAATGAATCCGGGAGTAAATTAATTTGGAAAAATAAATTCAAATAGACTTTTCTGAATCAATATTCCAGCATTTCACATTCTTGATAACTTGAATCATAGTGCTGAAGCAATATTCAGCTGCTGTAAATTGCCATAGCTCCACTGAAGCCAATAAAGTTACAGTAATTTATTTCATCTGAGGATGTGATTTTTTACAGAATAGTCCTGACCTTATTTAATTGTGAGGCTTGTTCATTTATTTGTTTTAATAAATGGGGTAAAAAAGGGCAGACTCTTGCGTTTTTAGACAGAATGAAGAGATTACTTCTGCAAATAAACTGGGGGTACCAGTAACAAAACTAGGAATGTCAGCAACTAGTATTTTGTGAGGAAAAGAGCTCAACCTGAGAACAGAAACAGGGAAGTTATGCACCTTCTCTTCTCTTTCTCTCTTTAAGGGACATTCACAAGTTATGGAAACACACTGGAGGCATTTCAAAAAATTCGTATGATGTAATCTCATTCGAGTATGCTAAAACTACAAATATGTATGTACCCCAATAGGGTTTTCTTGTGGCCTCTAGAACCAATGCTGGTTAGAAAGAGAATTTCAGAGAAGGGTCAAATGCATAGGGATTTTTCTTACAGCACAAACAGGCAATCTTAGGAAATGCTCACTGAGGAATGTTCTGACCTGGCTTGGATGTTTCTAGACCAGAGGTGCCAGTAGCCCCACATTCAGTGACTCTCACTTGACACTTGGCAGGAAATTTATTCTGTAGCTTCCACAGAGATCCTGTGAGAATTAATTCCCTGGCCTTGTCTGAAAAGATTTTTTTTCCTCTCTGCTCTCACACTGCTGGTTGATAATTTCATTATCAGTCCACCTGCTGTTGTATTGTGAGAAACAGTGAATAAATCACTTCCTATTCCTCATATCTACCTCAGCCATATTCCATCTTTGTCATTTATTATCTAGTCTTTTATTATGAATTATCTGTCACCTAGTCTATACACTCTCCTTGTAACAAAACTGTTCAATAAGTTTGGTCTTCCCATCTCTGTCTTAGTTCCAGTACATCCTTTTGAGGTGGGGTGAAATGAAAAATAAGTACATAATGTGCAGTAATAATACACAGTGGCATAATATTATTTGGTTTTTGTCTTTCCCTTTCCTAATGATTCTTAATGTTCTTTGTTTCTTAGTTCCTGAGGGTTGATGTATCATGTATTCAAACTGTCTGATGAATCTCAAAGGACTCCAGCTATTCTCCTTAAATGACATCAGGTAATTCACCACCTAACTGACTATATATAATAGCCTGTCTATACATACCTACCTACATGTACATACACATGTATGTCTGAATTGCTTGTTAATATATCAGCAGAATGTTACTCTACTGCATCACACTGCAGTTACTAATGTGTAAATAAATACAAACACTTATGATCTTCAGAAATAACTCATAGTCAACTTTAGATTAGCCTTTTCTGAATAATTTTGTATGAGCTAGTTTATCAGTGCCCTTCTTATCTGCTTCCTTCAACATTTATGAATATGTTGAGAAGCACTGGGCCCAGTTCCAATCCATTAGTAGCACCATGAGTAACAGCATTATACTGTGAAGAATCAAGTTGTTCTTGTCTTTTCTTTCCTTTCCTTTTTTATTTCTGCTTTTAAGCATCTGCTAATTGATTATTGTCATTTATGTTGGGAATATTTAATTTTTGTAAGGACTGCTGACTCGTGGCAATGATTCATTGCCATTTTTTGGCAATACAAAGAGACTGTATTAGTGGTAAGGTTTTTTGCTACTCACTTTTCTGAGAACTATGGGATATGTAAGGCATGACTGCCCTTTGTAAAAGCCATGCTGCCTTTTCCTTGGTATTTCTTACACATCTTTTTTTTTAAATTTTCTTCAATTACTATAATTTTTAATAATGTTTATAGTCCAGAAGTCAAGTTGTTAGTCACTAGTACTCATCATAGCTCTTCGAAACTTTAGAAAAAATTTTTCTACCAGGAACCAAAACTAACTTAGCCCTTAGTAATTCAGTAATTTCAAATAGAATATTTTTAGGGTAGTATGAGGCATAGAATTTGATCTTTTTACATCCAATTTATTCTGCTTAATTTTTGTTTCATAAAAAGTGTGTGTGTCTCATCCAACACTTTAGTCAAGGGCAATTTACAGCCACTTCAGTGGAAAAACTCTCCTTACCTAAATTAGATATTCATCTCTCTGTGTCTCTGTACGAACTCTCTCTCTCTCTCTCTGATGTTTAGACAATAAGCACAGTCTAGGTTCCTAATCTTTAGATGGCAACAGCCAAATTAATCTGACTGTACATCAGGTTGATCTAAAGCTTCATTCCAGGACAGCTTAATTTGAAGCAGTGTCTCCTTCGTTCTTGTAAGGCCTCCATGCAGAAAGTGGTGAGTAAAGTTGATGATAAGCGTGTACATAAATGATCCTCCCTTTTCTAAGGCCTCAAGTTTTTCACCGTATTTCTTCTTCCTTTAAAGATTCCCTTGTGATGGAGTTCTCTGGGGGAAAAAAAAAAGCGGATTTTCCAAAACGATTGTTTATTTCCAACCTTCTCACTTGTCATTCCCTCTTTTGTTTTGTGTATAACGTCCTCTGGTAATGTGACAGCACTACCATGCACTGCTGCCTTTAGTCTATATTGAAGCTGCTCTGTCTTGTCCTGACAGTTACCTTCAGATTTTTGTACTGTGTTATTGTGAACGTTTGTCCATTTGTTCCAAATGATTTTTCAGTTTGAAAACAAGTATTCCAGATTCTGCCTCATTTCCCCCTCTCTCTCACAAACATAAGCATGAACATAGCCATGACTCCTTAATGGTGGATAAAATCACTGTTTTCCCTATGAGACCAAAGAAATAGTGAGATGTCTTGAGCTGGAAGAAATTGATTTCTTCAAGGACTCCCTTGGAAGATATGTGGTTTATTTTGCACAAAAAGTGGGAGTTTAGTAATCTGACTTGCTGATGACACATCCTAGGTAAAGGCAGGCATTCAGAATATTTTACAGGCAGAATTTGAGGACTGAGCATTATAAACTGATGTAGTTTCACAGTACAAAGTGCAAAATCATGTAGGGACATATGAGTTCCAAGAACACTTGCTGTCATTAGATGCCTACTATCAAAGGCTCTTCTGCTGGGATGGCAGAGAAAAGACAAGATAAAGACACGTAACCTCATACAGAGGCTGTCAACATGACAGAAAACACAAAGACCCTGGGAGCCCAAGATGGATTAGGTGAGTTATTTCCTGCAGAGAGAGGGATGTATGCATGCAGGCTGGCAAGTGGAGTATAATTTGGTCACCTGGGATCAAAAACTATTGCTTTAAAGTGGAATACAAGATTGACAAGGGCTATTAAGATGGTTAGAAAAATGGAGAGCATAATATATGAAGAGATAATAGAAGAGTCTGGCTTGATTAGTTTGCCAGAATGGGGTTGACAGGAAGCGTGGATAGACACCTCAAAGGGGTGAATGATAAACAGGGATAAAGCAATTGTGGCTAGGGAGTAATACTGGCAGCAGAACAAACAAGGCACCAAACATGGGAGAAATGAAGCCTGAATCTCTGGAAAAGTCCCCAGCTGATGGGCAGGTGAGCTTTTGGAAGCTTGGAGCACCCTGGAGTACCCCGGCAAAGAAATGAACACTCTGAGAGGATGCACAGTGTCAACACCACCTGCAGGTGAAGACTTGGAGTTCCTCCTGCTTTTCCTACCAGCTCACTGTGTGTCCTTAGACAAAACCTGCTGTTCACCGGGCTCTGGACTCCACATTGGTAAAATGTAGGTAATTATGCTGATGGCTCCTGTAAAGAAGGCTGACACCTGCCAGCAAGGAGGGCTAAGCAGCACCAAGGTGTTGTTATTCTCATTTCCAGCTACTTCAAAGGAAAGCAGAATCTGCCTTTCCAGCCATCAGGTGAAATGAAGGTGTGTGAGGGAGTGAGAACAAGGGCTGAGAGAATAATGGTTGTGTCACCTGCACAGCTGCAGGCAAAACCCCAGGTATTATTCAGTTTTTTATACAGAGAATATAAGCTAAAGAGAATCTTTATTTACTTTTTAATAATTCACCTCTCCATGTACCACCAAAGATGCTTTGAAATTAATAAATTTCCTGACAGCAGGGACTGTAACTCTCTGCTTTTTTCCACCAACATTTTCTTTTGATCATTGCCTTTTCCACAATAAACATCTGTACTGAAAATAGCTACCTCTTGCTGGTAAATGAATAGGTCCCTTCATGGTCTGTGCCACATTTATTTTAACTTGGTCAGACTGGTTAAAATTAGATGAATGCTACTGAAATCTAAACCTCATTCAAAGGAGGTCAAAGTTATCCAGATTAGTGCGTTGTCAGCTGCATTTTAAAATCTTAAAATAAAGTCCTAAAATATTGGTTTATTCCCCACCAACTAGGGAATATTAATTATATATGAGGGGAAAAAATGCAACTAATCCCACGAATATTTCCAAAAATAAATTCATGGAACCACTGGACACCCACAAATACATTCCTTCACCTGTGTTGTTAACAGTACCTGTTTTGATCCCTCAGGTATCCCCTCTCTTTGGCCATCACCGCAGGCTTTCCAAAGCTGAAAAGCTCCAACAGACTGTCACTGAAATTGTTAGCTGGGATTTCACCTGGGGCATAAGGCTGACAAGCTGGGGTCAGAAGGGTTTGTTCAAAGCATCTTCAGCTCCAGTTTGGCTGATGTGGGAAATTCTTGACTATGTACTGGTGCTTCTGTAGCACTGGTAGTGCTGGGAGATCTCTTTTTTCCTAGTGAAAAACGTTTCATTCTCACTCTGTCATGAGATGTCTAAATAAAAAAATAATACTAATGTAATTTTGTAACAGTATTTCTTCTGTGTAGAATCAGAGAAATACACATCCAGTAAAGTGTTTAGTTAGTCTTTTTAGTACCAGGGTAGGTTATGTCAGTTTTCTGATAGAAAGATAGAAATTATGGTACGTGGCAGAAGAAACCCTATATTTAAGGGCAGATGCCTCCGGTTGCAACAGGACATGATTCTCCATTACTTGCACCATTAAATGTCTCAGGCTATTCAGGTGCATGCTTGACTACACTGACAAATCCTAATAAAATCAGATCGCCAAACAGAAAAAGGAAAAAAGTTACGCAAGATAAAAGGGCTGTAAGCTCAAAAGTTCATTGAGACAGCTACAGAGCATGATCAGACCTGCACTTCAAAGTACCTAAAGGCTGACGAGTGTTTGACAGTGCTAAGTGTGGTCTTTAGCTCTTTGTGCTAGAGGTAGCCCCTCTGGTACATACAGGCATCTGTCTCTATCAGGAGGCTCACTGATCCAAAGCAACACAAAACTTTTGCCTTCAACATGACTTTCATGGTTTCCTTCTCAGTTTGCTTCATCTCAAGGTGCTTTCTTCAGACAAATCAAGTGTGAAGCGTGCCATACCCTCTGATAATGCTCCCCCCTCAGCTGAACAGAGCCCAGCTTTACTTTGGGATAGAGTCAGTTTGGGAATGTTCCACTTAACAACATTCTTTAATACATAACACAAATAACACAGTAGTATCAAAATATGCCAGTGGTACTTCACCGCCGCTTGTTTGCTCAGAACAGCTATGGAAATAACAGCATTTTTATTTTGAGCTTAAAATTGAAGGCAACAGCATGCATCCATCGACATTGAAAATCCAAACTGGGCTCCTTGTAGCAATGACAAATTGTGGATTTCATTGGTTCTTTTGCATACACTGAAACTGGAGTTCATCTTACACAGCTTCATGTAAGTCAGGCATTTAGGCCAAGTCACTGATGTCCTCTCTGTAGCCAAAGGAGAGGGAAAGACACTTCTGGAGGACAAGTTCTTCCAGTTTAAATTATCTGTTTCCACGGTGAGCTAATAACCTTGTATTGGTGACTGAGCCTTTAACCAATCCCAGTTGTATTTTAACTTCACTGCCAGTTGAATTTTAACTGAGCAATAGGCAATCCCTGCTTTCCAAACTTTTACTGTGAGGAAGGTATTTTTATTATGGCTCACCAAAAGAATTTTTGTTTGACCAGACTTTGTCACGTCCTCTCTTTCCCAAACCACATGCCATTGCTTGCTAGTTACTCCTGCTTTCTCGCAATGAGATAGAACTTTCTGATGCACTGAACATCACAACAAAGGAATAAGTTACCTGTGGAGGGTGGCACTCCTGTCACCTGTGGGTGTTAGACACAAACT